AGCTTCTCCCCACCCAACCCTTCCAACCCCCCCCCCCCACCCCATCCCTCCTCCACCCCCCCACCCCGGCCATCCCGGTTCAGTCACAATATAACTGCTGGCGAGGCTTGGGCTGCAGTTTTTAAGCTTAATCAGCAGCTGAGCGAGTGTTGGTGTTTATTGTTTAGTGTGCGCTGTGTGGATCACTGCGCTGCTGATGTCTCTGTCCGCCCCCCCCCCCCCCCACCCGCCGCCCCCTCACCACCCCGTTGTGTGGCTAGTCAGGGCCCATTTTACACCAACAAACACAACACAAGCCCAGTGTTAGATACCACTGCGATGCACGTCTCAGTTCACTCTGGACGAACGTCTGACTTTCCTGTCCGGACTTCGCGACAATCCTCGCGTTCGATACCTCGCCCTATCGTGCGTTTCAGACGTCTCAAATGCTTCACGGGATGGACTGCAGAGTGCGGTGACCGGATGTGGCCGACGCCTTAGCACGATTTACACGTGGTGATGTTCTGCGTAGTCCTCTGAGACGCTATCTTGAGAGGCGGGCTCGGTATAAGTGCAAGTCGTTGCTGTTGTGGTGATGGGCTGGTTAAATAACTAGTTACATAACGGTGGTGGAGTTACATAACTAGTTACGTAACGGTTTAAAAGGGAACCCTTCGCTCTTGTGCCTTTGTGACCAAGCATCAGAAGATCGGGTTACTGAATCCCTGCCTCAATCCCTTAAACTCAACCCCTCTCAACCCCTTCAGACCTATCTTTTGTTAGAATCGAGCGATTTAACTGCATTTTATATCCATATCCAGGGATAAGAGAGGCAAAGAGTTAAAAAATTGGCTACATGATACCAGTTGGGGTGATCCAAATCGCAAGGCATCCACACATGATCTGCAGAGTACCTCGACTCAACAGGAACCCGAGAGACGATTGAGACGTTTTATGATTTAATATATCTGCTTCAATATCTATATGCTCCCTCTTGGTTGACATCATCCGCAGACATGGGGTGAATTTCCATGACACCCAACTCTACCTCTCCCGCCTCCACCCTCGACTCCAGGACCTTCAGCCACTCTGCCCCCAACCTCTGGAACTCCATTCTGCAGTCCCTCCGCCTCGCCCCACTCGCTTGACTCTTTCAAGACCCATCTCAAGACCTTCCTCTTCAACCATATTTTCGATCACCCTCCTTCCCCCCCCCCCCCCCCCCATGGAGGGGTTTAGTTTAACAACAGGCATTAACATTTTTATCTCAGGGTATAAGGGAAACTCACCAAACCAGTGCAGCACAGCAGAACGGAGCTGGTGTCCTCGAGGGCTGTGTTGCTGTCCAAAGCTCTGAAGGTGTAATATGGTTTTGGTTCTGTTAATTATCGCTGATGCACTGTGTGTACAAATCATTCTACAAATGTTACAGTAAAACCTTCTTCACACCCATATTGGGATTGTCAAGTCGTCGTTCATTGGTTAATCCGGTCATTCTCCCCAGATGCACTGGGTCTAGTATCAGCGACAAGAAGCTTGTCTGTGCTCAGGAGAGATTAAGGAGGAGTTTTGATTATGTAACGGGGGAGAAATCAAGTCAGTAACCAGAGGAACAACAATCACAGCAAGTTTGCAATGAGACAGTGCCGAGAACTCTCTTTATACACATCAGGAACATCAGACAGAGCGAAAAACAACAGAATCCTGTGTGGTTTTGTGCACATTCTGTTTTTCAAAGCTTTTCAAAAGGGAATTAAAAAAATAATCCTTGCATTCGCCACAACGCCTTTCACATCAGGACATCTGAAAGCTCTTCACAGGATTCACAGCGAAGAGCAGCGACTGTTTTCATAGAATATTACAGCACAGAAGGAGGCCATTCAGCCCATCAGGCCTGTACCGGCTCTTTGGAAGAGCTACCAACTAGTCCCACTCCCCCACTCTTACCCCACATCTCATCTCCCCTCTCGTTCTTTTGCCAATAAGTCTGTGTCCCCTGGTTACTGCCCCACCCCTCCCAGTGCAAAGTTTCTCCCAATTTACTCTATCAAAACCCCTCATCATTGTGAACAAGTCGATTAAATCTCCCCTCAACCTTCTCCGCTCTAAGGAGAATAATCTCAGCCTCTCTCATCTCTCCACATAACTAAAGTCCCTCATCCCTAATGGTCCCTGGTACCATCCTGGTGAATGTCCTCTGCGCCTTCTCCAAGGCCTTGAACAATGTGGACAGCAAGGTTCTCACGGACGCCCATGAAGCGAACGACTAATTTTATCAGGGCCGGTGGTGTGGGGGAGATTGTCAGCCTTGACATTGACCAGGAAAAAAAACTCCCATCTCTTACCAGCTCCCAACCCTACCCACAGCACCATAGGGAGAGCTTTAAGTCCTGGATGAGAGTTGACTTTCTCCAGTTGATTGTCAATAAGTCTAAGGCTCTCCTGCTTGGCTCCCTTCAGCACCTCCTTACCTCAGACTCCGACAACATCGTCCTCCATGGATATACTCTACAACTTACGAACCCAATAAAGAACCTCAACTGTCCTTCACGCCCCACATTCGTATCATGATCGGCTCTGCCTTTCCCCACCTCAGCAATGTCACTCGGCTCCAACACACACACACACACACACACATATTTATACACACACACATAATGTCACACACACACACACACACACAATAATACACACACACATATTCACAGTGATACACACATACACAGTGACACGCACACAGTGACACACACACACTGACACATAGTTATACACACGCATATACACAGTGACACACACTCACATACACAGTGACACACACACAGTGACACACACACATACACAAAATGACACACGCACACAGTGACACGCACACACATTTATACACGCTTACACACAGTCACAGTGTGTATCCACACACACAAAGTTATACACAGACATACACAGTGATTTACACACACAGTTATAACACACACATACACACAGTGCCACACACATACACAGTGACACAGTTATACACATACACACAGTGACACACACACACATATACCCAGTGACACACACACACACATAGACAGTGACACACACACAGTTATATACACACAATGCCACACACAGTTATACACACACACCGTGACACAGTCACAATAACACACACAGTTACACACAGTCACACGGCGAGAACCAGCAGCAAATGGACTTTACAACTCAAACACCCTTTGTCTCGACCGACAATAAATGTTAGCAATAATAACCATAAGCCCAGAGACAGAGAAACAACCCACCTACGTAATAATAATAACAATCTTTGTATTTAATACAGAGCCTTATCACGCCTTCTAGACGTCTCAAAGCGCTTCACAGAAAATACGTAAAGCGTAGCGACTGCGCCTTTTGTGGGCGAAACGCGGCAGCCAATTGCGCACAGCAACGTCCCCACAAACAGCCGAAGTGACCGTTTTTTTTTGAAGGGGTTATTATCCCCTGGACAAGGGATCCGCCAATCAACTAACAACCAGGTTCCTATTTACCGCTGGGTAAACAAAGGCGTGTGGAGTAAGGAAACTCGCCCTGGTCAGGAATCCAACCCAAATCCTCTCGCTTGCGAGGCGAGCGATCTAACCACTGAGCTACATATAATATATACACACACACACACACACACACACGCGCGCGCGCACGCACGCACGAGAGAACTCATTCATCTTTCACCCAAAGCTAATCGCAAAGCGATTACGCAGAAAGAATAGAGACCGAAATAAACTCCACAATTACGGTACCAGCAAATAATCCGCCCGTCGTTGGATTAGTTGTCCGGCTATTGTTTGCTGCACAAACCGCAGCTCAGCCAACACACCCGCCGGCTGCTCGCGGATGACCGTACCTGTCACTGGATAGATTTCCTCTGAAAAACAGCTGTTTTCTCCCAGGCTGTGTGTGTGTGTGTGTGTGTGTGTGGGTGTGTGTGGGGTGGGGTGGGTGGTGGGGGGGGGGGGCAGTGATGACTGTGTGTGTGCGTGTGCAGTGTGCATGCGTGACTTAGTCTAATCCCGAATGGTTTTGTTGTCAATGTCGTTTGATTGACAGCACAACGAGTCTATCACATTACCTGGTTGCAATCTCCTCGCTTTCCCACAGGCTCTGGACGAGAGCATTTCCTTAAAGCAAAATTCAGCTAAATCCTTAAATGATAAGAAATGATTTTAATTTATAGTCCCAGTTTGTTTTTAAGAAAAGACTGAATTGATGGAGGGAGGGAGGGAGGGAGGGGAGAAATATATATTTATTTATATTTAACAAATCAGCTATGGCAAAATCAAGAGAAACTCCCTCTTCTTTTTAATAATAATAATAATCCTTGCGTTGATACAGCGACTTATCCCTTTGGGACGTCTCAAAATGCTTCCCAGAATGTTCTGTAAAGTGTGGGCGAATCTCGGCCGTCAATTGCGTCCCACAAGCCGTCGTGGGATCTTGAGTGACCAAATTATTATTAATATTTTAAATTTTACTTATTTACTTACTTATTTATAAGGGATCCTTATCCCCGGAAAAGTGATCCGCCAATCGACTGACCTACTTACTGGTGGGCAAACAGAGGCATGCGGAGTAAGGAAACTTGCCTAAGGGTTCGCCCTGCCCGGGAATCGAACCTGGGTCCTCTCGTTTGCGAGGCGACGGCTCTAACCACCGAGCCGCAGGATTCCTGTTGGAGGAATGAGCTGTGAGATGTGGGGGAGCCGGAGACTCACGGTTGGGCAAAAATTAATGTCCACCTGGTACCTGGGTTTGAACATCTCAGCCCCAGGTAACGACTCCTACAATCCAGGAGTTTCCTGGGAGAGGGAAATGGGACTGAAACTCTCGGCCGTCAGAGGGGGCATTCCCTTTGATAAAAAGGAAACCCACTGCCTGTTGTGTAATCCCCTGAAGCTTAATTATTAATTTTAGCCCTGGAAAACGTGTCCAAAGTCCAGCTGCTTGGCAGGCCCTGCAGATACCCCCCTCCCCCCCCCACCCGGGACCACTCAGCGCTGACAGCAAACGTCCTGCACGGTAGGTCTTCACTGTCCTGTATTTAGGGTCTAACTGTCCTGTATTGTAGGTTCTCACTGTCCTGTATTGTAGGGTCTCACTGTCCTGTACTATAGGGTCTCTCTGTTCTGTACATAGGGTCTCACTGTCCTGTATTGTAGGGTCTCATTTAGGGTCTCACTGTCCTGTATTGTAGGGTCTCATTTAGGGTCTCACTGTCCTATATTGTGTCTCAGGAGATGTGCAACATTGGGCCTCACTTTTTTCAAGGAACTGCAGAAAAATGCTTTGGATTTGAGCCCCCATATCCCTTCCCTTTCTGTGTGGCTTGGGTATTAATTAATTGGGTGGTGTGGGGGAGGTGTGTGTGTGTGGGGGGGGGGGTGGGAGTGTGTTATTTCACGTTCCATGCCTTGTCCACCCCACCATTGGGCCTTCATCTTCTCCGCAATCTACCCTCTGAACCCTGTCCCACAGTCCCTTCACCTCGCCCCTCCCTCGCCTCCTTCAGGACCCATCTCAAGACCCTCCTCTTCGGCCACACCTTCAGCCCTCCTCCTCCTCCTACGCCCCCCCAACCTTCCACCCCTCCTGATCCCAACCACCAGCTCGGGTTGCGGATCCTGACTGTGCAGCGTCTTGGGACGTGCTCCTGACGTGAAAGGCAGACACCGTGCGTGTAAACGTCATGTGTTGTTGTCGTTGTGTGTACGTAGTGGGGTCTCTCCTCACGGACCGACAAACAGGGACTGTCGCTGAGAGTTCCACACTCGCATGTTTTACCGCACGTTGAAATTTCCCGTGTCCCAAGTGCAAAGGATGGTCACCAATAGCACTAAACCCATTACGTTGATTTAACAGGAAGCTTTTATGGCCCTCTCAATGACCAACTATATTCGGAAGTTCCCTGAATCGCTATCCAACTGAAAGGCACTCCATAAATTCAAGTCATTATTTGTGCACGAGTTTCTCTCTCTCTCTCTCTCTCTCTCCTCTCTCTGTGTGTTGCTCCAGGGGTGTGTTTGGAGATACAATGGAGCGTTTGGGACCAGGTGGCCGGGCCGGGAAGCAGATGACTCGGAGGGTTGGGATCGTGGGATACGGCAGTTTGGGTACGTGGACACTCACTGACAAACGAATGGTGCAACAGCCCACACCGCAGGTCCCCTTCGTGTCCACCTGAGTAGAGATGGCGAGAGGGCAGGGTAGTTTGGTTAGTGAGCAGCTTTAATGGTGCCTCTGTGTTCTCCTGCTACAGGCCAGTACCTGGTGGACATGATTGTCCAGGCCGGGGCCGAGCAGGGGCTGCAGCTGGTCTTTGTGTGGAACAGGAGCCAGGAGAAGATGAGAGGACGTGTTCCTGAGGAGCTACAGCTGAAGGACCTCAACATGTTTGGGGACAGGTGACAGGGACTAGACATAGTACATAGGAACAGGAGGAGGCTATTCAGCCCCTCGAGCCTGCCCCGCCATTTAATAAGATCATGGCTGATCTTCTAACCTAATTCCATTTACTCGCCCCATCCCCATATCCCTTAACCCCTCTATCGTTTAGAACCAATCAACCTCAGGCTTGAACATGTTCAAGGACTGACTGAGCATCCACAGCCTCTGGGGTAGAGAATTCCCCAAATTCCCTACCCTCTGAGTGAGGAAATGTTTCCTCAACTCAGTTCGAAAAGGCTGACCCTTAATCTTGAGACTATGACCCCAAGTTTTAGATTCTCCAACCGGGGGAAACGGTCTCACGGCATCTCCCCTGTCAAGACCCTTAAGAATCTTATAGGTTTCTGAGCACTAACACTACCCGGTCTCTTCCCCCTCCAGAAAATAATCCGGGTTTCTATTTTTATTACCTACGTGCAGTCACTTCACTCTTCCCCACGTTGTACTCCACCTGCCATCTTCTTGCCCACTCACCCGGGCTATCTATGTCCCTTCGCGTTCCTCGTGTGTCATCCTCACAGCTTACCCTCCCGCCTACCTTCGGGTCGTCCGCAAACTTAGATGCCTTCTTGACCTTCTTGACTCACGGGAACACGGACCACGTTCCCGCAACCCGCCCTCGTAATTTAACCCTTTAAGCCCTGGTATCATTCTGATGAATCTCTCTCTTTCGCGCCCTCTCACACGCGCGCGCTCCGTCCCTCTCTCACACTCTGCTGCTGTTGTTGTGTGACTGTTATGCTTCTCTCCGCTCGTCTCCCAGGAAATCTGACCTTATCCTCGAGGTCTCCCACCCTCAGATCACCAAGGAGTTTGGGGAGAGATTCTTGAGAAATGCGGATTTTATGGTGAGTTTCACCGTGTGAGGGGGAGGGGAGTGAGGGGGACGGGGAGTGAGCGGTAGGGAGTGGCAGAGAGGGGGTGGGGAGTGAGCGGGGAGGGGGAGTGAGGGAGAGTGAGTAGGGAGAAGATGGGGAGCGAGGGGGAGGAGAGTGAGGGGGAGTGAGGGGGGAGGGAGGGAGTGATGGGAGGGGAGCGAGGGGGAGGGGAGGGAGTGATGGGGAGGGGAGGAGGGGGAGAGGAGGGGGAGTGAGGGGGAGGAGTGATGGGGAAGGGGAGTCAGTGAGGGGTGTGGAGTGAGGGTGGGGGGTGGAGGGGGTAGAGGGGAGTTGGGGTTCAGGCTGAGCCTCACTGTAAGGAGTTTGGTGACGTGTCTCTTGACCCCAGGCCGGATCACCCACGGCCTTCGCTGACCCGGAGACTGACCGTCGGTGCCGCCGAGCGAGTGCCCAACACGGACACACCCTTTACATCCCCAGTGGGGCCCTGTGGGGAGCCTCCGACATACAGAAAATGGCGGACAGGGGAACGCTGAAGGTTAAACACTGGCACATTCGCTTAAATCCCCTCACTCTTCTCAACTGTCTCAGGCATCACACCCCCCTCCCACCCCACTCCCCGCCTCGCCCCTCCCCGTCTCGCCCCCTCACTAACACCCGCCCCAGCCTTGCCCCTCCCCGTCTTGCCCCTCTCCGTCATGCCCCTCCC